CACAAGGGAAAAGCAATGAAATCTACCTACCCTGGGCCAGAAAATCTGTGTCCATGAGGCTAAGTGAAAGTAAGCCATGCATTTTCATAACGGTTCAAAGGGAAAACACACTGATTTCTTTCAGTTCTTCTCAAGATTGGGTAAGAGCCTTACATAAGTGACACTAGAATGCAAAATAGATTGTTCTGAGCTTTGGAGCGCTCGGGAGTATTTAGAGTTCAGCCAACAGAAGGAAAAGTCATTTGCAAGACAGGATTTTTTTTATTTTTTTGCTTTTGGCTCCCGTCGGCGGTCAGGGGTAGGGAACGGGGTGCTGTATAGCTGTGAGTGACAGGGAAGGCTCAAGGCATCCACTAGGGTCCAGCGAAGTGAACCCTCTCCACACAGCATTTCAAGGCACCCTTCTGATCGCTAAGTTCACCCATATCTTCTGAATTTTCCATTTCTAATGGAGGGGGAAAAAAAAAAGATTTCGTGCCTTATGCCTTTAGGAGCAGCACTAGGGTCTCCCCTACTGGACAGGAGCCCTAGCAGACAGGATACGAAACCCATCGCAAAAGGAAACACCATCATTCGGCGGCTTCGATTTGAGCAAAATGTCACACCGGGCAAAACTGAGATGAGAACTTCCATCTGCGCAGCTCAGGAAGCTGGCAGAATTCTCCAAAGGATGTGCCTGAGGGCAGTTTCGGAACAGAGGGCGGCTCAAGAATCCACGAAGAAATTAAGACAGAGGGAATCTGGTTGGCGCAGACCTAGGGCTAAACGAGATATACTACGGTTGGAGAGAAACAGTTCAGGTTGGAGGATCAAGTGCACAAGTTTTCTTGGGGTGGGTGGGGGGCTCTGGCAAGAAATCTTGGGGACGGTAGACGGCGGGCGAGGTCTGACTCGCTTTCAGTTTCTTTGTGCAAACTGGAGACATCCGGGCTAGACAACTGGAATGTGTTTCGTGTGGGACGGTCTTTGAAGAAGGCTCAGAAGCTTCAGCAGGTCCCGAACAAGGCTGTCCAGGTATTGGGAAGAAAGCCCAGGAGGATGACTTATGTGGCAGCTGAAAGGGGTTTGCTTTGGTTGCCAATGAAACCCAATGGCTTGATGGTTAAAACATTCAAATGATCTGAGTCCACCCTACTTAGATGACAACCTTCGGCTGTAACTGTCTGCCCACATTTTGAAAGGTTCTACAAGGGGAGTCTGTTCTCACTTGTCTGCTATTCAGGGACATTAGGCTGTGATGACATGTAAGAGAGTCCCTTTTGGGGTGGCACCCTGACTCTCGAATGAGCTGCCATGCTAGATTCACCAGGCCCCATCTCTGCAGGACTTCAGAAGAGCTCTGAACTATTTTAATTTGGTTCAGAGTTGCATTTTATCCTGGGGAGTTCTCATCGGTTATTCTTTTGCTGGTCTGGATTGCTAGTTTATGACTCACTGGTGTTTTCAATCATTATAATGTTTTTCTTTGTTCTGCTGTATTAAACATCTGATACATGAGTTACCTTGCACAGATGACAGATCAGAAACACTGTTAAATACTTCTTTAACTAAAACAACAGGTAGAAAAACAGAAAGCAAACTGTAATAAGGAATCCAGAAGCAGCTGGAGAGAGACAGACACAGTCAAGAAGCACACTGAGGGAATAGGCTGTGAAACCTAGGCATGATGCAACAGTTTGTTTGTTTGTTTTTTTGCGAGCAAGGGAAAATACATAACCAGGAGGTAAAGGATCCCTTTGAGGTGTCGGACACTTGCCACACATTTCCAAGACTTTTCTGACTCTGTAAGGGCTACAGAAATAGAGATGTGGTGGCGCTGCGGGTTAAACCGCAGAAGCCTCTGGGCTGCAAGGTCAGAAGACCAGCAGTCATAAGATCGAATCCACGCAACGGAGGGAGCTCCCGTCGCTTGTCCCAGCTCCTGCTAACCTAGCAGTTCGAGAGCATGTAAAAATGCAAGTAGATAAATAGGTACCACCTCGGGGGGAAGGCAACAAGCTTCCGTGTCTAGTTGCGCTGGCCACATGACCACGGAAACGGTCTTCGAACAAACGCTGGCTCTACGGCTTAGAGATGGGGATGAGCACCGCGCCCTAGAGTCAGACACGACTGGACTAAATGTCAAGGGGAACCTTTACTTAAGGGCTACAGAATAGCTTGCGAGACAAAGCTGGGACTCCCAGCACACTGAAGTGCTGAACTTCAGAGTTGAAGCATCTCTAGACTGAACGTTGCAATGCTTGGAATGGAAACCTTCACACAGGAATGGGATTCCTAAATATTTTGAAGGGGATCCCCCCCCTCCCAATACAGGGATTCGCAGAGGAAACATGGTGGTGGGGCATCATCCTTACTGGCATCCTTAAGATCCTCTGCACCATTCTTGCCCATCTGCAGGAAAGGGGGAAACGTCTCAGCCATCAGCTGGAGCTGTTTTACTTCTCTGTGTTTTAGCCAGGAGTTAAGATACATGGCTTGACTCACGTACAGCACAGATGATGCAACCCGAAGCCAAAAAAGTATTTGGAACAGTGCTTTCTCAGTTCCAAACTATTCATAGCAGAACGGTAAAACAAAACAACAGAGGGAGTTCTCTCTCACACACACACATACACAGACACACATAATAATATGGACTGTGATCTTCCAGACTGTGCTATTCCCCTTTAATCAAGCTCTAACGGGAACATCTTTATGCCTGATGATGAATACCTGAGGATTAGTTCTTGTGCGGTGATACTGGGCACGTCCCCCACCACCCAGCGTACATCTTCCTGGCCCATCAAAACTCTGCAAAATCCTTTACAACCCAAGCACATGTAGTTGTACATTTCCCCCATGAAAAGACAACATCCAACAGGCTTATGTCATACAAATTAAAACCTGAAGTCTCTGATGATCAGAGAGCCATTCTGAAAGGGAGGCTGGGTTGAAGAGGTTCGAAGTCACCCAACCTCAAGTGACCAACTAGTTATCATTCCTCCCCCGCCCCAATCCTCACTCATGTAATATGCAACAGAACAAAGAGGAAGAGGAGTCTGCAAAGAAAAACTCTTTTCTCCCTTTTGAAGCTTCCTAAACAGACCAACAGATCTCTCTCAATCCCTCTGTCATTTATCATTCTGCCAAAACAGCTGTGAGGGTCTATAGCCCAAGGGTAGAGATTCAAGGAAATCAACCCTGAGTGCTCATTGGAAGGACAGATCCTGAAGTGGAGGCTCCAATACTTTGGCCATCTCATGAGAAGACTCCCTGGAAAAGACCCGATGTTGGGAAAGTGTGAGGGCAAGAGGAGAGGGGGACAGCAGAGGACGAGATGGTTGGACAGTGTCATCGAAGTGACCAACATGAATTTGACCCAACTCTGGGAGGGAGTGGAAGACAGGAGGGCCTGGCGTGCTCTGGTCCATGGGGTCACGAAGAGTCGGACACGACTAAATGACAACAAATAGATTCATTCCACCAGTTGGCCGGTCCAGGTGCCAACACTACCAGGTGGAATGGACCACTGGCCCTGATTCAACGGAAGACAGCTTCCGACTTCCTAAACAATGAAACTGCCTCTCCTGAGCAGTACTCTGAGGAGCGCTGTGACTCACAAAAAGCGAAATTCTACAGCCATACAATGTCTGAACAGAATAAGGTCTAATTCCTTTTGTGCAGATGAAATTGTGTATCACTCACTGCAACTCCCAGGAATCCGGTCTAGCACAGGGAAGTGGTGAAGGCTTCAGGGCATTTCAGTCCAAGAACATCTGGGTTACCAAGGCTGGAGGGAACCACTGTGCTAAACAATTTTGCAGAATTATTTGACAGTAAAGCATTAATTAATCAAAGTTTGCCAGTCCAGCCCTGCCAGTATACTACTATGGACATGGAAAATCAAGAAGAGGTAAATAGAATGACACAGAAGGAATCCTGAGCCACTAAGCCACCATCTGGAAAACTGGCTTCGTTCAAATGAGATGCTGATTCACATCCCATTATTTTAAAACACTCATATCTTTTATTCACAGCCCTCTTTTCAACACTCCTTTCCACCAGCCGCCACCAAAAAATGCAGCCACAACTTTAGGTGAGATTCCACCACTTCCGTTCAAAACTCAAGGCTCACAAGAATGATTTCCTTTGACGTTTAGAATAATCTAGACCTGCAAAATAATTAGCATAAACAGAAGAGGGAACAGAGACAGTCCTCAGAAAATGGAGAGAGAAAATAGAATTAAAAGACCCAGTGGGGAATAGATAAAATGCATTTCCCCTGCAAACGTACTGAACTTACCTGGGACAAGTTAGCGTGGCTGTCTCTCTCACTGCTTGGGCCGTTTCAGAGGCAAAATCCAGAGCGCCAGCCACTGGTTTCGTTACAGTTCCAACAAGTCCTTTCCCGAGGCCGGATATAAAACCACTGACTCCCCCTTCAGTTTTCACACCTTCTACGGTTGAGGTGATCACGCTTGTTAATCCACCAATGATACCTGTGTTGAATAAAATGAGAAAGTCAAGTAGCTCAACAGTGAGAGAGAGGGAGAGGACAGTGAGCATTCCCCATGGTCACACTTCCAATGACCTGTTCCTTGAACATCTCAGTAGGGGTAAGGATCACAAGATTCTCCTCCATGTTTGGACCAGAGAGATATTTCTTGGCACTGTGGACAAGACTTCTCCAACTGGTGAGAACTTTCTGTGCACACTGAACAATGGTATAAAACTATGCCGGCTTTTGCTTTGTTTCATTCTGAGAATCAGAAGCACCAGATGGTGTGCTTGTATCTTTCAAAACTAAGCCTCTGTGTTTCACTCTCATGCTGGAGAGGAGGAATTTGACATGGCTTGAGCTTCCTCACTGAGGAGTCTCATCATACGTTGATGGACTCAAGTGACAAGAAAGGCCAATCTAGAGAGCGTTTTTCACACTTCTAATTTGGGGGAATGCAAACATCCCTAAAGCAAAACCAGACCAGTTCTTTAAATGGCAGGTTATGGAGACGTTAAAGAGAGCCCATGTGGTTCAGTGGGCCGTGTGTCTCACTAGGACTACAGGAGATCTGGGTTCAAATTCCTGCTCAGCCAGAGAAGCAAACCGATGATTCAGCCTCTTGAATCTTGAAAACTTTTTTAGAGCTGTCGAAAGTTTAAAGTGACTCAATGATGCATAACAACAACATGTACAAACAATTATTACTTGCTCCTACTGTGGCTTTCAACAAAAATCCATGGTAGAGCGTCAGACACGTTTTTTAATTAACATGTTACCATGAGCCAGTCCCTGGATGCCGGCCACGAGATGTTCACCACTTGTTGCCGCGTGGTATCGGATATATTCTCGTTCCGTCTGATGCCGATTATCCATAGTCTTTCCCAGGCCATCGGATAAAGTCCCAGTAAACTGTTGTAAGACAAGAAGGAAGAAAGGAAACATTAAAACATGAATGCATATTTTTTTCTCCCCCAGTAAATGGGCAGGACACATGTCATAAGGAAAGAATTTAATAGGGCTTATCATAGAATCACAGAATAACTGAGTTGGAAGGAGCCTATAAGGCCAATGTGTTCAATCCCCCGCTCAATGCAGGGCTCCAAAACAAAGCAGATATATGACAATACACACAAATAAGACACACACCTGTGAAAGTCAACTGTCATTTTCTATGGATATTTAGGATTAATGCATCAAGCTCCTTCCTTAGCAAATAGGGCAAACAAGTGCTGCTCGTATATGCAAAAGGAGAAGCCAGATCAATTACAATGAGAGTAATCAGAAAAGCCCCCAAGAGGTCATACAAGGATGTTTTAAGTCAGAGTGGCAAGAATATTTGGAAATGGTGGAGGGCAAACAAGAATAAAGGCTTCTCTTCAGATGTGGCTCCCTCTGGCTTAGGGGGATGGATCCCTGGACATTGCAGGGAATTTCTAACCCACCTCCCACTGTGAGGAGGACTGATGTAGCAAGAACCTTTCAGCAGCCACCTCTAACTGTTCTGTTCCCTGACTTGTTTTTTTCCTGCTCTGGCTGAACTAATCCCTGAGAGAAGGAACAGTACATTCAAAACTATTCTAAGAAGTCCATCAGTTGAGAACTTGCCATTCCCTCCAAGCTACCACCTTTGATGGGTTTGAACCACAGGTTCTTACAGCCCAACCCAATGGACGAAATCCTGTTATTAGCATGGCAAGTTGCATCAGAGTAGGCTCACTGAGTCCACAGGGATTTGGGGAGTCAACTCCTCCATCGACTCCATTAATTCAAAGGGGCCTGCTCTCGTTGCAACTTACGTTGGAATGCTCAATAACAGCCTTCTTGGTACATTAATTCAAAGGGGCCTGCTCTCGTTGCGACTTACGTTGGGCACAGTAAGCTGCAGTTGGGATAGGCTCCTTTGAATCAATGGAACTTGAGTGGATCCAATCAGCCTACTCTAGTGCAACCAGCTAGGCTAAGCAACAGAATTTCAGCCAATGGTGCTATGAGGATATTTCTAGTGTTACTCAGAGGTGGTGCCATTTCCCCCCCAGATGGTGCTTCCTGACTTCAACTTTTAAGCATCAGGTCAACCACCAAGACCTTTTTAAAGGCTTAGCTTTTAGTCCGGGCTAAAATTTGGAATGCTCAACAACAGCCTTCTTGGTGAGGGAGGGGAAGCTGCCCTTACTCTTCACTGTCTCTGGCCACTGAGCAAAACACTTCTATTGAGACAGGGTTCCAGCTTTTGACTTATTGCTGTGAAAGGGGCTTTAACAGATTCGCACACTACTTCTGTTGAACGTATTATTTCCACACCAGTTTTTTTGCTCTGCTTCCATAGGTATCTGCTTTTAATTGCTTTAAAGTCTAGTCCTAAGCCAGTGTCGAGAGAAAGGAGGAACAGAGGTCAAATGCAAACATACATGCACACCAAAGGTTGGCTGTCATAATTTAATTGTAGTTACCTGTAAAGCCAGTGTCGAGAGAAAGGAGGAACAGAGCTCAAATGCATACATATACACATACATACATGCACACCAAAGGTTGGCTGTCATAATTTAATTGTAGTTACCTGTAACTAGCCCCCTTTTTTTGGGAGGGGGAGGGTATTTAAAAAGTTGCACTTTAAAAGTAGCTTAATAGTCTTGTAACCTCTTATATGTTGGTTCGGTGGTCTCAATGACCTTGGGAGTGGTAAGCACTCCAACGCTCTAGGCATTTCAAGAGAAAGTTGGAGAGCCACCCAACTTTGGACTCCCACTTTGAACAGGGGGTTGGACCCGATGGCCTTAGAGGCCCCTTTCCAGCTCAACCATGCCATGATTCTATTGGCTTTCATGCAAATACACTTGAACCTCTGTTGGTGAGAGGGAGCATGGCAGAAAAGACCAGTCATGACTTGCATCGCAGTGCCTCATTCATTTGATTTGATATGGGAACTCCCGGAGCTTATTACATGCATTCAAGAATAGCAAGTGACTCTTCGCAAAGCTCTTCTTTGTTTGGAGGACTTTTGAGTGGAGCTGTTCGGAACATGCTGTGATGCCATGCGATTGGGGAGGTTGCCATAGCTAAGCCTCAGGGCAAGAGCCGGGAGAAGACAGCAAGTGCTGGACGAAGGGATAGGAAACGCAGAGTCAACAACAGCCTTTCAGTCTTTGCAACTCCTGTTGATAGGCTTGGCCAAGCATTTTTTTTCCTTTGACTCGTGAAACACACCCAATGCTTATGCAAAAGGGAATGAATTCAAAGATGCCACAAGCCAGCCCTGGACTTTTGGATTTCCTCACCTTTGTTTACAGAGTCACAAACTCAGCCAAGTTAATGTTTAATGCGTTTCTGTGCCCCTTTTGAAGTCAAAAGTTCTGGGGAACTTCTTAACATCCTGCAATAAGCCCACATTGCAAATTCCTCTACATTTTAAATTGTCCTATTGGCCCACAGTTCCATGCTGTACATGAGAACTGAGAATATTCTTCACCATGTAACATACCTTCTTAAATCTTAAGTTTTTCTTGCACATTGCTCTCTCGACCTTGGAGAAACTGCCACGAGCCATGCGTATTGGGATTCCTATTGTACATGGCTCATTCAAGCAGATGCCAAGGAAATGTATAGTTGCCAGCCTAGAGCACAATTTCATTTCATCTCTTTAGCTGCGGTTTTCTTTTCTTTTCTTTTTGGACAGCTACCCTGATTGCTTGGTTTCTTAAGGTTCCTTTTTAGACCATGCCCACTGTTTATTTCATGGACTTCATTCAGTAATCTTCGTGTATCAACTAAACAGTCAGCTAGGAACACTGTATCTTCTGCATATCGGTGGAGGCTAACAAGCGTTACGCATTAAGTACAACACCATCATTGAGCTGAGCTCAGCAAAGTAAGAGATAAATAAGAGACATTTTTGGGACCGGCATTGCTGTCTACGGACTTCTTAAGATTAGGGTTGTCTAATGCTTTGAAGCGAGCGGCTGGACCCAAATCGTGGTCCAGCAGCAAGAATCCACAGATTCACTGAGGCTTTCTCTCTTCTTGGTTGTTTAAATAAAAGCAGTAACTGTTCATGTTTGTTTAAACAAACTGCAATTATTGCTATTTTTGTAGTTTGTTTTTTACCTATGAAGCAAATGTAATAAACAAAAACAGTTTATTGTTTTCGCTCCTTGCATGACCAGGAGAAGAAGCTGTTTACGACTGGCTCCGGGTGACAATGTCACATCAAGCGCACACTGCAGGTCTAAGTCGATTCTGTTCGGGAGGGAGGCTCAAAGGAACCCCTTCTGGCCCACGAGGTTTCCAGAATCCCCCAAACTGGTAGAGTAGTGGAAGATTTATTTTGGGAAGGCAAGCGGATTTTCGCCACTATTTGTTTTTTCAAAGAGACGCGCTCCGTTCCCCCGCTGCGCCCAGCCCTAACCTGCGGGCCACCAGAAGGGCGACCAGCCGCAGCTGCGGCCGACAACATGTATTCTCTGCTTCCCGCCTTCCCCATAACTCAAGCCTGATTAACAGGGGGGGGGGCTTAAATTAGCTCACATCTCCTCGTTCGCGGTGGCGGCTAATGCATCCTGACAGCCGCATGTTGCACCGTGATCTGGGGAGCCCCCTAACGAGTCCGTCTGCGGGGGATGCCTGATTAGCCAAGAGGGTTTGGGGAGGGTAGAGAATACAGTTGGGGGGGGGGAAGCGCTCCTTTCTCCCCCACCCCGGAGGCCGGATTGGGGAGGGGGAGAAGGGGCTGCACCACTTCTCCCCATCCTGCCAGGGGCTCCCCATCAGGCTGCCCGGCAGGTGCCTCCGTGGCAATCGTTTTGTGTTACAGACCTAAACCGAGTGATCCCTGCAGGAGCAGCCGGCTGTTTTCACATACACAGAAGGCAGTCAAAACTCCAAGGGATGAACTCGGAATGACCCCCAATCGGAGAGTCACTGGCGGGTTCACCGAGAGGCCAAGCTACCCTTTATTAAACAACTCATACCCTTTTAACGGATAACTTTTCCGAAAAGGAGGAAGAGAGAGCCTGCACAAGAGAGAGAGAGAGAGAGGAGCCGGGCAAACTTTTCCTTCCCTTCTCCTAAAGGATCTGGCACAGGCTGCAGGGGGAAAAAAGAGACTGAAACATCCGGGAAAATGTCCCGAGCAGGGAGAAGACCCAAATAAAGGCAGACTGGTTGCAGGAAGGGACCATCCCACTCCCCCCACCCACCCCCCAAAAAACCTCACAGTCTTTTGCTTAGCCTTGCATGCTTTTATTTCTTCGGATCCAGTTTTGTCCAAAAGTGGCTGTCTTTTGGAGAGGGTGCCAAAGGTTCCCCTGAATGTCCAAGTGGACCCGAGGGCTTCGCTTGACCACATGGATCACGGCCTCCTTCCGAGATCGCTCGGCTATTCACGTACGTTTCGTCACGCCTACCTCCAACACTTGACGACACAAACCCTCAGCCCCACGACCTCCTGTTCCACAGGGGATGGCATGGGGGTGGGTGGGGTAGGATGATTGGAAGGAGAGAAGGGGGGGAGAGGCTACTCTTGTTTACGCTCACAAAGGCCAAGCGGTCAAACATGTTGGCGTCGTCTTCCGAGCAGTCCTTGCTGTTTTCTGAAGCTCATCTGAGCCTACTTTAAAATAAATCAAGCATGTTAATATTTAAGCCACCAAAATACCAAACGCAGCTCTTTGCTAAGCCGAGGAAATGGAAGATGGAGCCCATTTAGGGCGGCTGTCTCTACATCACAAAAGGAAGGAAGGAAGAAGAAAAATGAAGATGGGGCGGGAAGGCTCTGGTTTTCCATAAGCCTGCAACGTCTAATTGAGATATGGATTTGCAAAATAAGACTTATGGTTTCTGAAACTTTATAGACAATCACCCTCGATTTGCCATAAGCTTTCGTGAAGGACAAATTAAGAAAGAGAGCTGCCCTC